AACAATATTATGTAGTCAAGATGCAAGTATAAGGCATTATTATACATATGCTATATATACTGGTTGCCTGTATATATATATATATATATATATATATATATATATATATATATACATATGTTGAGTGAGTCCTGGTTAATCAGCTAGGCAGGGCTTGACATTATATATCAGGGCAAGGATAGACAGGATATTTTTTAACAGAGGAGAGAAAGTTGGATAACAATGATAGACGCAGACAACAGGAATTACAAAGGGTCCCATATACATATTGAATTGTTCTGTATTAAGTTTAGTAAAATATAAAAACTTTAAAAATGAATAAATATAGTAACTATTTAAATAAGTGGTGTATCTGTAAACTAAAAACAAAAACTAATAATCATAGACATATATTTGAATCATATACATCCATGAACTACCGCAATGATAGAAAGCATTACATTCAGACATTTGGGCTGTTTGTGAGTTATCTACAATCTAATTGTATGTACAAGCACAACAGATATAGTATAGAAACACATAATTAACGAAACATATTGAGGAATGGAACACAAGCAAACTTTGTAAAAAATTAAATAAAATATAAAATTATGTGACCATTACAATAGTAAGTGTCAACCACTATACGAATAAAATAATAAAATTATCAAAATTATATATTATTAAAAATTCTACTATTATATCAAGACGAACACGCACAAACATAAAATATTTTTGGACAGGATTGCAACACAGATGGAGTATAACACAGTAACACGTAACACGTAGAATATATTAAAATGATTTTGTTTACAAATATTGAATTTATGCAAGATCATATTATCGAAACAAACTTGTGTGTGAAACCAAGCATATGATGTTGCCCGAGAGTCTTGCATAAATCTTGATTTGAATGGCTTATACATTTCTCAAAAATTAACGATAAAATGATTTGTGAATGATGAAAATACCGGCCAATTCTGCCGTAAAATAGTTAGGGAAAGGGTACGTTACTCTACGATTTTTATATAAAATGGTACTAAAAACTGTCAAAATGCTATGAGGTCATTGTAGAAAACCTAACCTACAAACTTCAAAGTTAAACTTTTTGATGTGTCCATAATACATGCAATTAGATTTTCGAGACAATTATGCGGTAACATAGACGATAACATAGCTTTGTTATGGCAACGGTATATGTCTTGCTACTAAAAACTATGAAAATTCTATCTATTTGCTGTACGTTACATACAAAATCACAAATATGTAGTATCATAAAAAAAATTCGGCGAATAGATAGCATTGCCACAGATTTCAGTACCAAGAATGAAGAAAAAGATAGATTTGCCATAAATACGCTATAACATAGGTTAGGTTACCACAAGCAAATACTTAGATACTGTTGACAGTTTTTAGTAACATTTTATATAAAAAATGCACCGTAACGTTTTGCCATAAAACATTGGTCTATTTTACGACAGAATCAAATAATCTAATACTGACAAAAATTGGAATGAAAATTATGGATTACTGATTTTGATTACAGAATCACAGATGTAATGCAGCAGTCATTGTTTTTAGAGAATATGAGAGATGCCAAAAGCCATTCAGTTTGTGATGGGTTTGATTGATTATCTATGCTTGTGAAAGTGGAAGGCGCAAGTTGGTATAAATGTGATCATTTGTATGTGTTTCTAAAGTTCTGTTTAAAATGGTTCAAGAGGAATTTGGGATTTCGTGTTTTGTTTGTGGGGAACACGGGCTGCGACTTACCACGGCGTAAAGGAGTTCCAAAACTCGCTAACGAGTCGGATTGTGAGGTTGAGCAGTCGAGACACGCCAAAACAGCACGAGGAGGACAGAATACAAAGAGACAAGGACAAAAGTTACTAAACACAAATTACCTACTCCACACATCGAATGGCATCGAAAGAAAAAAATATAGCACATTATGATATACTTTACTTCTTTTTATTTTATTTTTTATTTATTTTACTATTTTTTTCATATTTTTCTATGTAGGTTACATTAACAACAAAAATGTAAATGAAAAATCAATATCAATTTTCTCTAGAAAAATAGAGGAGTATTTGTTTGAGAAAAATCGATGATGAATAAAAATAAATAAAAAGCATATTTGTGCAAAAAGTAAGAAATCGTCGACAAGTTTCTATGTGATACCTCAATTCAATTTTCTTACAAAATTTTGTAAATTTTTTTTCGAATAATTTCTCAACTTTTTGCACAGTCTGTGTCACCTCTGAAGTCCGTTTATATCAGTCCGATAGTTCGTGCTTTATTTGCAATATCAAAAACACGAACAGATTTATTTTGGGCAAACACGCACGCCGACATCCTCTCACAGGGAATATAGGATAGGAAAAAATAAATCGTAAATTTATATCAAACACAATGTTTCCCTTGAAATAATTTGTTTTCCCAAAGAAATGTTTTTATATAATTGTATATATTATGTGGCCAATATTCTGCGATAACACAACCGATAACAGAGTTGTTATGGCAACGCCATGTGATGCTTGTTTCTTGGTATTAAAAACTGTGAAATGGTCTATCTAATTGCTGTACAATCAGGCGTTTTACTATCATAAAAACGTATATTATAAATAAATGCGCATCATAAACATACAGTTAAAATAATATTCTTTCTTGATATGTTTATATGTAATTTTTATTAATTTTTACAGTTTTTTTTGCCAAAAAACAAGCATAAAGTATCGTTCCTGTATCACAGAATTGGCCCATATATACATAGATTTTCCATAGACCCTAATAAAAGTATTTAATTTTTTTATAATTGTATAATTATCAAGTTCTAAAAAAAATTGATAATGCCAAGTTTATTACATTATTTCAGAAATAATATTAGATTTATATCTACAATTTACTGAGAATTTATTTTATGTAAAAATGTGGTTTTCAATGTCAGCGTACAATGTCGCACCAATATTTAAAAATTTTCAAAAATAATTTAGTCAAGTATTGCAAAACTACACCGCGGGTATAAAATTACCCTTCAATTTGCATAAGGCAATTTCACTCTAATGAAATTGGTAAAACTCATATAATAAAACGCAAAGAATAAATAAAACGAAGTTATTAAAAATATTTTTAATCGTGTGTGTAAGTATTGTGATTAGCAATTATTAATTCATCTCATTGTAAAATAGTTTGAATCAATGAGATTTCAGGCTCACAGAAGAACAAAATAACCAACACATGATTAACAGACTTCCACAGTTTAAACATTGTAATCACACATATGGGCAGTTAAGTTAGCTAAATTAATAAAAAAAAAATATTTGGGAATAAACAGTACACAGGGATGTTAAGGTCCAGATTTTGGCGAACATGTTATAGCATTCGCTCTAGAATTGCTACTTATCATAACTGCAGTTTGCTTTTATAATTAAAAATATGCTATAAAAGCAAAAACTTTGTAAACAATGTACGCCAAATTGAATAATCCATCTACATTCATATTAGTGGTAGACACTTAAAATTTGGCCATTCCAACAATGGCACTTGTTAATATTTTCATTCAATTGTATCATTATAATTAAAACATTATATTCAAAATAATTCTTTTAATAATATTTAAAATATGATTTCAACCCATTACAATAGTAGGTTTTCATTACCACATCACGAGTTTATTATAAAAAATGTTTGTTTATGTACCAAATAATTTTTAGTGAAGGAAATTAAAGCTAATTTAAAGCGTTTTTGTGTCTGCCACTAATTAATAGATTAGTGCATGTATCTCCAATGATAAGTGTCAATGTTGTTAATAAAATATTAAAAAATTTCAAATAAATTTCTACAAAGTTAATAAATTTTGCCACATTTTAAAAATTTGCATATTGCACTCTTTTTATATTTGAGGTATAATATTGGAGGTACATATTAAAATAAAAATTTAATAAAAAATAGAAATACTAAATGTAATGTGTCTACCATAAACGCAAATGATAAGGCAAGTCATGTGATAATACTATGTTTAGTACAATAATAAAACAAATTAAGCCTTGGAAAAGTAACTATAGAACAAAATACTTTTGAACTATTTTAACCATGTGCAATAGCCATTATTGTAACTAAGTATTCTAACAAGTTTACGCATTATAAAATAAAATATTTAGCAATAAATCGCTATAAACAATTGTTGTTAAAGTGTAGAAAAAATGAAGAATTTTGTTCCATTTTTAGGAATTTAAACAAAAATTAGAAAAATAAAAATAAACAATGTCTTAAATAATGAAATAGCTTATTTTTGATATTGCAAATTCGTGCGACTTCTGAAGCAGTCAATCAAAAACAAATCGGATCTAATAAATGTAACAGTACATCATTTTCATTAGACGGGCTCAAACGTTTAAACCAATTCAAGACATTTACCAAACTTGATTTAACTTATAGTTTTGTTAGTTTGAGGATCCACAGACATAGGTTACAGACGAACACAGAGGTGGTATTTCAACATTAGACAAACACTAGTAAAAAATCAGGCGATACTAATAACACTTTTGAAATATTGACTGTAATTAAGTTCAGGATCACAAAAGTTAATTTAAGTATCGACCTAACCTTTTACTCGATGGAATGGTTTAAGGAAAGGAGAAGGGACTTTCTATCGATTATATTTTGCATTTGCGTCGATAAACTTCTCGTAGAAATGAAAAAAAGGGCAGCTATAAATATGGTGTGCACCACGCACTGAAATCAAAACGTTGAAAAATCAGAAATGCATCTAACAAGATCCTGAAAAAAATTAGCTATAGTTTAACTACTGTAATGTACAAGAAAAAAATTATATAATATTATTGATAAATTTAAAATTATATAATATTATTGATATTCTAATACTTCAGTGCGTAGTGCATACAGAAAGCACATGTGGTCAAATACCTGAGTGCATTTTAAAAATACTTATTGTTAATTAACAAATCAATAATTTATTCAGCATACTTTAAAAATTTATAATTTTTTAATTAGAATTTGAGTTATGATTGGGCTACTATAATGCTGACTAAACTATTAAAAATTCATCATATATTAAATAAGCCTAAATTACAATAATCTGAAAATACGCGAAGCACAACAAATAATATTCAAAAAACATGTCAATAATATTATTTGTTCATCGTATTCGGAAGATATTATTACGAGTTAATTTTGTTACTATTTACTTCAATATTAGTTCTACAACTATATTAGTTACAAAGTTACTAAGAACTAAATTTAAAAATATTGGCCAATCCACAAAAATCCATATTTAATATAATTGTCTAACTATCAATAATGTCAAAAAAAATAAATAAATAAAAGCAAATGATTTCCAATATTTTTAAGTAAAAAATTAATTTTTTTATCACACTTTACTTTCAATTACAAAACCAAACTTTGAATAAACGCGGCACAGAAGTTACTATATGAATTACGTTTAGTACACACCGAACTTTGGATTTTAGTATCTAATACGTACCTTTCGCTGTATTCATCCATATGAGCATAACTCTGTACGGAATTTTCTTCTATCAGAAATTTAACTCTCTGATAGAAAGATGCAGTGACTGAAGGTGGCTGCTTCCGAAGAAGGACGTCGACCGGGTCGTTCGAAGCTAAACACATAATGTGTTCGGCGCAGGCGGGGTGCGAACAGCATTCGCTGTCCGAACAATCGGTCATTCCATCTAATAAAATGTATAATTATTAGTAATTACATTACTGAATCACCTAAAAATTAACTAATTCAATCACTAAAAAACATCATCAATCAGAATTTAGAAAATAGTAAATATCAAAAATGGTGAGAAGAACCAAAAACATGATTACAATATTACAAAAATGATCCGAATAACAATCCATATTTATTTGTTAAGTGAATTTTCATTGTGAAATATGTCGATCGGGTGTCGTTGGATGCTAAACACATTGCGTTCGGAGCAATAGGGGTGCAAACAGTCGCTGTTCGAATAATCGGTCATTTCATCTATTAAAATAAATAATTACCAGTAATCACATTGCTAAATGTTTGACATCCTTAAAATTAACTAATTTGTGGGAATACATTTTCAATAAATTTTCAATACAAATTTTGTAAAACATAGAAATATCTTTATTAAATTTATATATTTCTATACTGGTGACCTACGATATCTACAATGAAGATTGAACATGGATACAAGAATTGAAAAAAGAAAATATTGACTTTGCTGCAACGCCAAAATTATATGTGAGAATCAATGAGGCCTTCAGTGTTTGATAAAAACAATTATTCATGTCATGACATATTTATAGTTGAAATAATAATTTTTAATACAATTTTTATAAAACATAGAAATATATTTATTGAATTTATATATTTCTATAAATTCAATAACTAAAAAAAATCATCAATCAGAATTGAGATAATAGTAAATATCAAAAATGGTGAGAAGAACCAAAAACACGTTTATAATATTTTCAAAAATGATCCGAATAACAATCCATATTTATTTGTTAAGCGAATTTTCAATATGTATAAATTGTAACTGTTAAGAATTCCTTAAGAAAGATGTCGACCGGGTCGTTGGATGCTGAACACATTGTGTTCGGAGCAAGCAGGGTGTAAAAAGTCGCTGTTCAAATAATCGGTCATTCCATCTATTAAAATAAATAATTATCAGTAATCACATTGCTGAATCCTTGAAATTAACTAATACAAAAAATAATAAAAAAAGGTGAGAAACCAAAACATGTTTAAAATATTTTCAAAAAGGATCCAAAATAACAATCGGCACAAGTGGGGCAAACACCATCCACTATCTGAAAAATCGGTCACTCCATATATTAAAATGTATGATTATGAGTAATCACATTTCTGAATGCCAAAATTAACTAATTCAAAAACTAATAAAACAATCATCAATCAGAATTTAGAAAATAGTAAATACCAAAAATGGTGAGAACCAAAAACACGTTTAAAATATTTCCAAAAATTATCCACAATAACAATCTTTCAACAATTTCTTTAAAATCTTTTATTATAATTTTTTATAAAAATTCGTTTTAAATATTTTCATAATTATCTACTATATAATTTACTATAAGTAGGCAGCGGATGTACTTGCATATTAGATATTTTTCTACAATGGCCTAAGTAAATTCGTATTATTTAATTTTTTGCTTATTCCAAATTCAATACGATTATTGCATAAATATTTATCTTGGTTATAAATCCATCATTCACACTTTAAAAAAAATGTTTAATATTTGTTACAGACTTCCGTATTAATACGGATTACAGATAATCCCTACATTGTGCATGTAAATGCTCATATTTGTTTATCTAAAAGTTCATATTTGTTTACCTAAAAGTTCATATTTGTAAACTTTCCCCTCCAGAGTTTTAATAATTTTTAAGCTATATTTTAAATTTTTGAGTTAGTTTACATTCAGTCGCGATACTAAAAACATATTGAAAACTAACTAAATATATTAATATTATATGTTGATCGCTGTTTAGCATCCGTTTTTTACTAATCAAATCTGTTGGTTTTTGTAGTAAGTCTAGGTAATGTGTAGTAATTGTAACAAGGATAAAACTATGGGGACAGAATTGTAACGATTATAGCCTTAATAGTAACTATTGAATTTTCATTAATTTCCTTTACATATAATACATATGGGGAGTTAGAAGCTAATTATAACAGGGTAAGTATTAACAGGCTTTTTTCAATAAAATTTTAAACGATAATAAAATGTTTTTTTTTGTCTCGATTGCACATGTTTGTACCCCGATTTATGTTGTCATAACTATAGTCCCGCAGGATGAGGCTGTATACGAAAGTGTGCAGCTGCGCCATTTTTATCAGGCAATATAAAATTATACTATATTAAAATTTGGCTTGCGTTATTATTATCGACTAATTTTACATTTTATATATTTCTTTTCGTTTTCGAATCTTTGATAATGTGTAACATTTTATGTGGATGCTAAATGTTTAAATAGTAATTTTGATTAATGTAAAAAAACGCATCTGGTTTACAACTTTAAGGTTAGTTGTAACATGCAAATTTGTATTTTCTGGTATACAGATTCAATTAAAGCAGATTGGAAAAAGTAGTTCGTAAGATATGGGAACATGTAAATTGTATTACAGGAGACACTATATCTTTTCTTTGTATTTATTGTAGTTTATGTTGATTTCTGAAAGAAATTTCTATTACAGAAGAAACTATACTATTTTATTTATATCAATTATGAAAAGAATTACTTAGAAATACGTCATTTATCTTAAAAATGAGTAAAAAATAAATTATCAAATATATTATTCAGCAATGCCAAACACCTGGTAAGTTGTAACATCGCATTTATTTTTAGAAAATGATTAATTGTGAAACAATGAACAATAGTTACAAAATCAATTTTACTTCAAAAAAAGAAACAATCAAGCCATTATCCGTCTTCATTTCGAAGAGAAAAAACTGTTGCAACAAGTCCCTATATTAAAATTATGTATGTATATATTTCAAAACATTAACAAAGTATTAACAAAACAATGATATGGATTATTAAAAAAGGAATCTAAAAACTTCATAACAAAAATAATGTGTACATTAAAATTCAATTACGAATGTTTTCTCTCCCTTCTGTACAAAATTAAAATGATTGACAATAACAAATTCTCACATGAAGAAATTCAAAGAAAATGGCAGCATTTAATTTTAGAATGTTAAAAAATATTTCAGTAACGCAAACTTTGAAATGTAAAAATTATACATCTCAAATATTGAGATTTATCTATTCAATTTTACTAGCTTACGTTATTCACAAAATGTTAATGAACATAAAGTTTTTGTTTATTAGACTAGAAATTAAAAATTAATTATAAATTTTAAAATATTGATTTTGTATAATAGTAATCATATAAATGACATATATATGAAAAATGTTAAATAAATATTCTAAAAGAGAATATATAAAAATACATAAAAAAATTCTCAGATATTCCAGAGTATATTTAAATATCGCTAGTTCCACATATTAATTATATAATATCAACATGTCGATTTAAAAAGTTATGCTTCACATATCGTAGATTCAAAATGATTTTCATATTTCATACTTTTATATTATTTGGAAAAAACATTTTAAAAAAACTAAATTATTTTTAAATATTGTTAATTAAAGTATTGTTAGTTAAATAGTATGGTTTTATAAATTGTTCAAATAAGCGCATTAATGATATGTATTTATTATTGTTATAAGTGAACTGCATTATGCATAAATAATACTTACATATTATTCACATATTAGTCCAATCTATTTATATATTAACTCGCATTAAAAAAAAAAGTAATACAGAAATACCGCAAAATATAAAATTGATTCATAATTGACAACTAATACAATAAATGCGCCTGTAAGAAAATAAACTGAGATTATAATTTGTTGATTGAAGGTATTAAAATTATACAGTCTCTTAAAAATTTAAAAATTAAAAAAAAATACTAAGGGCAGTGGAACGAAACACATATTCAATAGCATAGCAAGTCTCGACAGAAAAAAAAAACATACGGCAGATGTACCTACTGCTTCAGGTATATTATTTATATACATACTATTACCAAGTTTTTCAAAACTACGGCTGAATCTTTTCTTGAATAATTTGTATTAAATATTCTAACGAAAAATTAATGCCATTCCAAAATTCGTATTTAAAAATTGCCAACAAAAATTGTTATATTAAATTAAAAAGAGCAGTTTGTGAGCAATTGATTTAATTGAGGCTAATAATTAAAAAAAACTTAACACAGGCGAATGAGTTTATTTTTATAAATAAACTTGTTTTTTTAAAAGATGTGTCAACTGAAAATAAATGGATATGTTAAAATGAAAATGATACATATCATAATGTGCAATGCCACAAAAAGTTTCATATAGTATTGCAACGCTTTATAAGTTCGTAAGAGAACAGAAAAATTAACATTCACCATTTAATGTTTGATTATTAATAGTTCATTTAGATTGGCTATTTAAAAATATATAATGAAAAAAATAGTATTATATAGTGTACAGTCGAATGTGATTATTATAAAGATCCCACAACTGCCAGTGTTAATAAATATTATATAAAAATTGCATAGCTGGGCACCGTTAATCAAAAAGTTAACTTCGTTAATCGTTAATCCGCTACAAATAAAGTTAGCTTCGTTAAACGTTAAAGCGTTACATTTCGGAAGAATTAACGCAAGTTAACGTTAATCGTTAATCCGTTAATATGTGTAAAATTACATTTTTATATCGTTGCGTTAGTGAACTTAAAAAACTTATTGGTTTAGGTTCTGGAAGTTAACAGGTTATGAATAAAACAAAATACTTGTATAATTCAAATGTGTAATTCAACCCCTTAATGGCGCGACGTGCTTTATGCACACACCGTGATAATAACGCTATTGGTCAACTTTCTGTTTTTATGATTGCATATTGTTTTTACAAGAATTTTTTTCTAAATAAAGGGAAAGAGTTTTTTTGCGAAAAATAGGAAACGCGCGACGGGTTAAGCGTCGGGCATAAGGTGCATATTCCCCTTCATGAACATTAACATGTTGAAGTTCTCGTCTGAAAGCGAGGCTCGTTTTGGTGTCAAAATGTCTTTACCCGTGGAAAACAAACGTTCAACTGCAGCGCTTGAGGGTATAGCAGTAT